GGACACTGGGAGGAGGTAACTATGGGGAGGAAGTGGGAGGGGAGCTGCTGCATTGTAAATTTTGGTCAATGACATGAGACAAAGTATATGTGAACTGCTATATGGAAAGTGAATTTACTCTGTAAATCTTCACCCAAATCCTAATTAAAAAAAAAAAAAACATGATCTAGCAGTCCCACTGTTGTTGTTGTTAGGTGCTGTCGAGTCATCTCTGACTCATAGCGACCCTATGTACAGCAGAATGAAGCACTTCCCAGTGCTGTGCCAGGCCCACAATCCTTGCTATACCTGAGGCCATCGTCATAACTACTGTGTCAGTCCATCTTGTTGAGGGCCTTGTCCTCTTTCATTGACCTTCCTCTTTACCAAGCATGATATCCTCCTCCAGGGAATGGTTCCTTCTTACAGCGTGACCAAAATAGGTGAGACGAAGTCCGGCCATTCTTGCTTCCAGGGAGCATTCCAGCTGCACTTTGTCCGTGGTACTTTCAGCATTCTTCACCAGACCACAACTCAAAAGCATTGACTCTTCTTCGATCTTCCTTATTCATTGTCCAGCTCTCACATACATATAAAGTGATTGAAAGTACCATGACTTGTGTCAGATGCATCTTAGTCCTCAAGGAGACATCTTTACTCTTCAGCACTTGAAAGAGGTCTTTTGCAGCCAATTTGCCCAGTGCTGTATGTTGTCTGATACATCTTGATTGCTTCTTCTGTTGGTATTGATTGTAGAACCAAGTAATATGAAGTCTTTGACAAGTTCGGTCTTTTCTCCATTTATCATGATGCTGCTTATTGGTCCATTTGTGAGGATTTTTGTTTTCTTTATATTAAGGTGTAATCCTTACTGCAGACTATATTCTCTAATCCTCATCAGTAAGCATTTCAAGTCATCCTCACTCTCAGCAAGCAAAGTTGTTTTCATCAGCATATCGCAGGTAGTAAATGATTCTTCCTCCAATCCTGATGCCATGTTCTTCTTTATATAGTCCAGCTTTTCAGATTATTTGCTCAGCATAGAAATTGAATAAATAAGGTGAAAGGATACAACCCTGGATGCACTCGCTTCTTTATTTTAAACCATGCAGTGTCCCCTTCTGTTTGAATGACAGCCTGCT